GATGAAATCCATCTTTCTGTGTGTCCATTGTCTATAAATGTGCCAACATGTGGTGTCTTTGGGGCCGACACACCGCCACGTCCTCGCCGTGGCCCTGGATAACGCAGAGAGCGGTGTATTAAATGTCATATCTCCCATACTAATTGTTCCCGGATAAAAAGATGACCAAATCATTAATTAGGTGACGGAAACCCATCCAATCAAATAAAAAACATCCAGAATGGTTTGGTGGACCTGAACTAGACATTTATCCTCAATCTATTTTTATAGAAAATTCAGAAATAATGGAATTCGCCTACTTTTTCAGGTTGGATGGATGGTTGATCAATTGGTAGTTGTAACTCCAAAGCCTCAGAAACCAACTCTGAACATAGACACAGTCCTATTTGTTGAGAAAGGTCAGCGTGTTCTCGGTCGTATTTTCGATATATTTGGACAAGTAACTGAGCCTCATTACTGCGTAAGATTTAACAATGCTGAACATATCAAAACGCAGGACATCCAAGTCGGCATGAAGGTTTACTTTTGTCCAAACACTCCATACACGTCACTGGTCTTCATGTCTGACCTCATCAAGTAAGTCAACTAATTTCCAGTTATTGTGCAGCTTATGGTATAAATAAATAATTAAATTTTATGGTTTTCGCTTAATAATGGACATTTTTTTGTGCATTACCAATTTATTATCAGCAACAGCTACACAGAATTAAAATATGGATTTTTATCTCGTCTCTCATTTCTTTTGATTACAGAATGAAAGCAAGTGATGAAGTCGGTGAGGATGAACATCCCGAATTCTCTGATGATGAGCAAGAGAGAGCATACTACTCGACGCTCAAGCAAAAGCAACGGAATGCTTCTGGTGAAAATACCTCGATTAAGCCTAACAATTCAGAATTCCAGCACAAGCGTCCAAAGATGGGTAAGAAGTCATACTTAAATTCGCAGTACCTACATTATTTCATGTTCTGTTGCCCTACTGCAACTTTTGAATAAATTCTCAAGGTACTTATGCAATTCTTACCAAAAGTCATCTTAATTATATAATAATTATCGATTGTTCTTTATAATAGCTCCAAAGACTGGTTGGAAATCCCAACATCCATGGAATAGCAGCAGGAGTTATTACCAAAATAACTCAAGACTGAGAGCTCCCAATGGAGATTTCACTCACCAGCAAGACTCGTGGAAGCCCTCGAACTCCTGTGACTCCTCCCAACTGAACTGGAGACCGCAATCTATTTATCAGAACTGGCCAAATGCATTTGGGCCCCAATCAGGGTCTTACTATCCTCCTTATGCCTTCCAGAATACCTCAATGCCCGGTTATCAGCCAACACTAACGTATCCTTGCCCACCAATACAACAGCCAATTAATTTCTGGAACTTACCACCACCTCCACCTCCACCTCCTCCACCCAGTGAGTAACAATGTTCTTTTTAATTCCTCATCACCAGAGAATGTATTATAAAATCTCTCAATGCAGTGGAATTAAATATCATTATTCCATTAGAATACAAAAATGAAGCTATATTATTTTTACTGTTACAACAATTACTCATAGAATTGTAGATTAAGAATTACGTTTCTTAGGTCTGTAATAAAAATAACTTTTTATTGTTTTTTATTATAATATAAATTTCTATTTACACATGTCATTCTAAAGATCAAATGCTCAAGGTTCGGTTTATCCACTGATTCGCTTGAGTTCAAAGAAAAAAATGTTTAAAAAGCTGAAAGAATTAGTGGAGAAAATGCGAGGCCGTTGTCTTCAGAGAATATCTTGCCAGAATAAACGGAAATTCGAGTGCTTAAAAAGTCAACATGATTTGCAATTTGTAATAAATCAAATGCACTTATTCTAATTCACGAATTCGTAGGACAATTCTCATTTTCTCATTTATATGGCTTAACATAAGAAATCTACCATGCATGTTCTCAATATTCTATATAAATTATGAAATCGTGATTTTCCATACTGTCTCGACAGAATTAATTATATAAATTATATAAAAAAAGACGCGGCAACAAATCACGTTTTTTGACTCGTAAAAAATTCATGAGTTTTGTACTCAATCATCTTTGGTTCATCTAGATACTTTTCAGCACAGACAATATCATTGTTTATTTCTGCAATGAGCGCCTCTGAAAAAAAATAAAGGAATTAGTATTTCTTTGTGATGTCAATGGCACTGTCAAATGAATTTCATTTTAATATTTTATTAAAACGTACCAACTGTCGGAAAGTCTCTCTCTGGTCTTATAAAACCAGTAATAATGACCTTGAGCTCCTTGCCATGCAAATCCTGATTGAACTTGTGAAGCATATGGACTTCCTGTAGAAAATTTATAGAACAATCAATTTGTTCTCTACGCAGAACAAATTTTTTAATGGAAAAAATGAATTTGTTCCTTTGAAAATTTTTTTTTTTTAATTTTTTTTTGTTTGAGATTTTTTTTTATTTGAGAATTTTTTTTTACTTGATAAATTTTTTTTTATGATTTTTTTTTACACTACTGAATTTTTTTAATTAAAATTTTTTTTTTTTTGTCATTGTTGAAAATTTCCAATGAATGGTAAAATGCTCACTATGGGTTTGAAAATATTGAATGAATCCATTAGTTAGAATCGAATGCAACCTTGAATGACCAATAGGCTAAGGAATCTTTTAGTAACTTGAAATGTATTTTACCATCGATTTCTTTTCATTCTTGTAGAATGGATTCCATCCCACACACATCACCATTTTATAAACTTCTCCTTCGAGTTGAGCCCATCCGTAATATATTCCATTATCAAACTCCTTGGGTAGTTTCTCAATCACATTCTCCGGATAATTGGCTATTGAATAAAATAAAAATAATTTTAATTTAATGAAATTCGATCCTTTCTTCCTTATGCAATTAATTCAACATCGAGTGTTACTCTCGTTACGTTTTCAGACTGATAAAATGCTTTTTAAAACACTAAAAAATATATTTCCATAAAAAATTCACCTGTTGGAATTCCAAGTGCCTTGGATCCTCGGCCAAAACCTTTAACGATGACACCTGATGTATAATATGGTAGAAATTCCTTCGTCATTTCTGCTGTACTGGCCAACTTGTGATGATGGCACCGAGGGGAATTGTTATCTAGTACAAATAGATAAAGTAATAATCTATTTCTTTCTCACTTTCAGTTTAAATCTTCATCTAATAGCGCCGGGCTTTAAATATAACTACAGAATGAAGAATTTGTATATTTCCAATTTGGGGGAAATTATTTATTTTCATGTTTATTTAAATGAAATTATTAGTTTCTCCAAAATTTCAATAGATTTGACTGCGTTGACAGCAGAACTTATGACAGGATCATTCGAAATTAATAAAAAAATAGGGGTTTTGAGGTAATACTATCAACTAGTTTTTGAAAGTTTTTGCAAAACATAAAAATGAAATGATTGGATTTTTGGTGGTTCTTACTATGAAAAATTACCAATTTCAATAAAATTTTCACAATATTTTCCATTTTTAAAAATAGTTGCAATTTTCAAAAATCTTTTGCTCAAAAAATGGACAATAGTATCTCGAAAATTCCATGAGGATCGGTTAAGCGGTTTTGGAAAGATCTAAAATTTTTGGAAAATTTTCTAGACATTTTTTAGAAATTGATAAACAAAAAAAAATTTTTTTTCAAACTGCAAAACCTGTGTAACTTCTCAAGACATATGAATTTTTTTAAACTTCATTTTATTGTGAAAATCATTCTTTGAGGATAACAAAGTTTTTCCTTTGTGCTAATGTGATTGTGAATACTAATTATCTTTGACAATTATCTTTGAAAAATATCCTGCCTTATCAACAAATAATACACATGTATATTTCATTCTTGCGATAATGCATATTTTATTGTCACTTGTCTGCGTCATAATTGGTCGACTATTTCGGTCAAATGACCTAAAATTGTCAAAAAGTATAAAAAAAATCAAGGATATTCCAAATGGCAATATGGTAAATGTCTAGTTCAGGTCCACCAAACCATTCTGGATGTTTTTTTATTTGATTGGATGGGTTTCCGTCACCTAATTAAGGATCTGGTCACCTTTTTATCCGGGAACAATTAGTATGGGAGATATGACATTTAATACACCGCTCTCTGCGTTATCCAGGGCCACGGCGAGGACGTGGCGGTGTGTCGGCCCCAAAGACACCACATGTTGGCACATTTATAGACAATGGACACACAGAAAGATGGATTTCATCAAATATTCCTGAACAC